GGGGCGGGGGTGTGAGGGGCCGCCTTCTTCCCAGGGGTCCCGCACCTGGGCGGCCCCGGAGGATGAAGGGGACTCCTTGGGGCTGCCCAGGGACTTTTAAAGGAAAGTCTGAGAGGGTGAGCGGTCTCGGGAAAAGGGGAGGAGGAGGGTCACCCCTGCACTTGGGTTCACGGGTGTCGGGTCCTTTTCTGGGGTCCGCCATCCCAGAAGAGCAGCAAGGTTGAATCAGCATCATCGTGAGCGTCACTCAGGAACAAATAGCAACGAAAACTTAAAAAAAAAAAAAAAATCCTCAAAGAAAGAAAGAAATGGTCAATTAGATTGTAAACACTTGGGATGTAGCCAGTACGTATTACTCCCCACAGAAATTAGCGGGCTGTTAATTCGTGTATCCGTGGATGCCTTTACAGTGTCAAGTGTTAAAACCATACAGCTGACAGAACACAGAGCTATGGGGGTAAAAAAGAAGGAAACCTGCAGTAAAAGCGCCAAAACCCCATGAAAATTGAAAAGGAAGAAGGATGTAGTAAAAGAGAAAGACAGGAGTTCTAGCTTTTAATTCTGATTCTTCCAGTAGCTCTGTTTTCCCATCTTTCCCTCATGTTGTTTTCACAGTATTTAGGCATAAAGTAGTTCACATATTTTTCTGAACTGGTGTAAAAATAGCTGTTGTTTTTGGACAGGTTTCCAAGATGAAGCTTTTGCTCTTTGAATTCTGTAAATATTTTGATGGTAGCAATTTGTCGCTGGCTTATTGACGTTTGTGGAACGTTTTCCTTCCTCGGGACTAGCACTTGAGAGTGAGTAAAGGCTCACGCCAGTGTTCAGTACTTAACTGAAATTTGGGATTAACTCTTTGCACTTATTAAAATCAAGTCTTGCAGATTTTTGATACAGTAGGAGAAGCTCTTTAAGGGAGTACATTTACCTTGTTTATAACTTTTTAAGAAATAACGTTTGGTGTTAAATCTTTCACTTGTACTTTCTATATTTATAGCTTTTCTATTTTTTACCATGTGGGCTCTTGTCTTTGTTTTGTTTTTTGTATAGAAATACTATTATTTTTGTCATTTAGGTTTTTATGTCAGTAGTTTTTTATTGTTGTTGTTGTTGTTTTTGGTTTTTTTTTTAGTTGGAGTCTCACTTTGTTGCCCAGACTGGAGTGCAGTGGCCGCTCCC